TGTGTATATATATATATATATAGCTTTTTTTTCAGCTAAGGCAAAATTAATAGATGCAAGATAATCTATTGTTTTCAGTAAGCATGTTGTTTAAGGTACATTAGAAAAACATCTTGCATGCTACATTTTGGAATATTACCCTGCATGTAAATTCAGCGGCGTGGTTCACAGCACACATAAAAAAAAAAATCCTTTAATGCTATTTTTATTTAATAATGTGAAAGTAAAACTAGGATTTAAAGTGTTGGACAAAAAAAATTAGGACAAATTGATTCAAATTTATTTTTGTATCTATTTGATATTGGATGTTTTATATTCATATTCATACATTTTTAAGATCTCTTTTTTATGTTGAACTTTAAAGTATGTTTTGAAATATATGTACCCCTTTTCATGTTAATTTTTCAGAGCTTGTTGTAGCATAGAAAGAAAATAACAAATAAATTGAATAAGCCATGTTATTTTTACTACTTTTACATTATTTTAAGCACTATTATAAGAAGAATATGAATCTGTTGATGCACTACCTAATGCTTTGCAAGATTTCCACATATATTCAACTAGGAACTTAGTGGTTTGCCCTGCTACAACCATACATTCTCCCACACCACATTGTTTTACCATGACTGGGACTCACAGGCTTTGTCTTGCAGACAGCATCTTGCGCCGCTACTAGTGCTCATTGATTCCCCCATACATGTGATGGGATCAACTTGGCCTACTCTGCAAGGATTTTGCCATGTTTATTCAAAGTGGAATGAAAAGACGGGGACCACATTAAAATTACCATGGAAAATTCTTTTAAGCATCTTGGGAAAAGAAAAACATGACTTCTAGTGATGATCAGTGACCAAAAGATGTCACTCTTCCCTTGTTTTTGTGCAGGTTTCAAGCCTGGAATTGGTGTAGTTTTGCTTCACCAACTTTAGATTGATGCCAGTGTCATTTCAGTATAATGATATTTATAAGTGACCTGAACATTAATTTTGCAGGTATATTACTGGTGAAATATATTTTATATTTATATAACGCAGGTTAAACTTCATACATACATTGGAATGTCAGCATTCTAAAAGCCTTCATGGTTCCATCATAGTGAAGCTTTGATATTCCCATGCACATTCAGATAATCTGTTTGCCAATAATCTGTATGTTTATGGACCGCTTCCAGCAATCATGGCTGATAACTATATACTTAGACATCGTTAGGGCAGGGTGGTCTTACCTGATAGTTATATGCATATATGGATACAATTGGAGCAATATGAAAGTTGTAGTTGTTCAAGGACTGTATTGCTACAAACAGTGCCTATTAAAAGTATTCGCTCTCTAGAATGAATACTTTTATACCGATTATATTAATATATTGAATAGATTTTTCAATTGTTAGAGTAAGAATAGATTCATGAAAAGATGATGATTTAAATGAATTACAATGAAAACAATGCAGAATAACTGACTGTAAAGGTCCCTATTACTATGACTTAACTAAAGTATAACTGCTGCAGTTATTTTTCCCAAATGACATAACTAAATGGAGATAACCTACATGTAATTAAAGGGTTTCAAGTGATTGTAGTATACATACATGTGTATCTGGTGAGTCCAACCTTTTGTGAGTTCCTAACGTGTGCTATGAAGACAAAAGCGCACTCCAATCAACCTCATAAACTTGTGATTTTAATGCACATTAAAGGTGATTGAAAAGCAGACATTTCTATGTCATTGAAAATCCTCACTCAATCATTAAAAAATGCAAAGAGTATGGCACAGCTGTAAATCTGCCAAGAACAGGCCATCCACCAAACTTGAGTAGCTGTGCAAGAATGAAAGTAAGGAAAGTGAACCAAGAGACCCACGACAACGCTGAAGGAATTACAGGCCTCAGTGGCTGAGGCTGGAGAATTTATACATACAACAAGAAGTTAAAGCTTTTAAGAGAGTGTCAAAAGAAAGCAACTGTTAACTAAAACTCACATGTCATCTTAGCTACAATGCCTGCATTTGCAGTGCAGGCCAGGCCTACATTTACGATATCGGTCAGATTTAGCAATCACTGTGGGTGGTCAATTCAGTTGCAGATCAGATTTACCACCACAAAGTAAGGGAAGTGTTCAGTTGCCCCATCAGTGCGTTTACAGACAGTAATACTTTGTTGAATTTTTTTCTTGTTTATATTTCCTGCAGTTTGCTAAGGCAGACTAATAAACCATCTTTTCTCGGCCCCTCTGATACAGTCATGAAATTTAAGAAGAAATCTCGTTTCCTGGAATTTTTTGTTCATTTGTTGCAGCGAGTGTTATCAGAGGAAAAACATCAGAAGGTACTTGAGTGGACAAAAACTGTCCTCGAATATTTGAAAAGGTAAACTTTTGCATCTTCCGGTGTATATCCTAATATAAGTAAAATGCAAAAAGAACAATTTTTATGCTTTCCTCTAAAAATATCAAGTCAATCATTCTGAGCATGGGAGTGGGGGGG